TCAACGAGAAGCACAACTATATACTACGTGGCCGTCGGCCCAGAATGTCATCCATTAACCATCATGCAACGTCAGTCATAATTCGTAGTCGGATTATCAGCTACTAATAAGGGTACAAATATCAATGCTTAATTCCGCAGTGCAACCGTTCGCCATCCGTTCAAATCACCGTGAAAAGACATTAAACCGTTTCACAAAATATCAGAGTGGAAGAAGAAAATAGAAAAGTATGAGAAACCGAAACATCAAGAGGGTATGCAGCGGCGCAAAAGAACATGAAAAGCCACACATCAGTAAGGCGAGTTGACAATCTCGTCCCTGCCTAACCGGCTGCCCCATTGGGTTCGGCGACGGGGAGTGACGGGGGGTCCGGCGATACTCTCGCGAGTGGGCTTCATCAAACTCCTCTTGGCAACCATGTTGACTTCGTTGGGCAGGGCCACAATGACGTTCTTGTCCGAGCCGAATCGGAAGTTGTCCGCCATGACGTCCTCGCCGTAACGCTTGATGGTGTAGGGGTCCTTGCGTCCCGCAACGACCTTCTTCAAGCTCCAGGTAATGATGAAAGGACCAGTGGCAGTGACAATCGATGTCTCCTGGCTGTCGACACCGGTGTTGAAACGCGCCTGGGTGAAGCTGATAGGCTTCTTCGTCTCGTGCTGGAACTGGGCCACATGGGCAGGCTGCAGACCCAGACGACGAGGCTGCGGCTTAGAGTCCTTGGCGAAGGAGCGCTCGAAGCCAAGCTTGCCCTCGTTCTTGCCCTCCTTCTGCAGCGAGTCGATGAGGAGGAGGTATGTCCGGCAGGTTGCGAGCACCCAGCGACCGTCCGCAGACACATCCAGACCGATGATCGGCTCTCCCAGAGCGGGAATATGCGTCTTGGCGTTGATTCCAAGACGGTCAAACATCCGGATATCACCCTTGTTGGAGGCGACGGCAAGGTATCCCTTCTCAGTGGTAGCCACCGAAGAGAAGTCATTCTTGCTGGCATACTGCTTCAGGTCTGTGTCCACCAACTTGTTTCCGTCGACACGAGGGTCGATGCGGTAGAGGGCATTCTTGGAAGCACCAACGAAGGTCTGTGCAGCGGTCATTTGAGAGAATTTCTAGGCAAGTCAGCAGATATTTCACATGAAACCAGATAGAGAGGTTACTCACAGTCTCAGGAGCAAAGGTAGTGACCGGAATGTCATCGTGGACCTTCCACTCATCCACAATCTTACCATACTCCAGGTCCATCCGGTAAAGCGAGTTCGGATCGTCACCGTTCTGGAGGATCATGTTGGTGTCTTCGGCGTGCAACATGACCTTCTTGGGGCTGAAGAGCTTGCCCCTGGGGGTCTCAACCTTGGAGATGTTGGTAGAGAACTCCAGGTTGTTGTCGGGAGTGTGTTTGAAGACGCCAATCTTGGAGCCACGAACGACAAAGGAGCGGTCATGCTTGTAACCGACAGCAAGTTGAGAGTTGACGTTTCCATCGTCATCCCGCGTAACGACATCATCTTGCTCCTCGTCAGAGTCGTAGTGTTCGCTGCGTTGACCGTCGTAGTGGTCTTCCTCCTCACTCTCCTCTTCTTCTTCCTCCTCCTCTGCAGCCTCGGCTTCGCGTTCCTCGGCATCCTCCATTGTGAGATCCTGGAAGGCATCCAGCACGTACTCCCGTTCTTGTTCCTTGACCTTCGTCCACTTCATCTCATTCAGCTGTTCCCACAGAGCCTGCATGAGACCCTCCTGGAACCTCTCCTCAGTCTCCTGGTCCTTGAAGCGCAAGAGCCAGGAGTAAGCCGAACCATCTTCACCGTAGGCATTAAAGATAAAAGACAGATATTCGAAATTGAAAACGGGGTTGATGTCCGCAACGACAGCCTGTCCAAGCCACTCCTTGTCTTCTCCGCTGATCTGGAGCCAGTACGTCCAGTCACCAACCTCAGAAACCGTTGCAGTCACGCTGGTTGCCTGCAAAACGAACGTTCCGCTCACAAAATCGAACAGGTGCAGCTCGGCCTTCTCCTGGGCGAGGACCTCTCTAGCTTCAGGCTGAGCTGCAGAAGGGGGAGCAACTGTGGCTTCCTCCGAGGCTGCGGGCTTGATTTGTCCCTTGGACCGCGAGTATTCGACGTCCTTCACCATGGCGGCGGTCGACTCTCCAGATGTCAGCGACCGAGCAGGAGACCGTGCTGAAGAAGAGATAGGGCTTGCAGACGGGATAGGCCTCTCCTCCTGGAAAGAGAACTCTTGCAGATCTTCGCGGCTCACGTTTTGGGAGCTCCGGCGGTATGCGCGCTCGTACTGGCACTGCAGAGCGGCTAGCTCGAAGGTGGAAACCTTATCCGAAGGTACGGAGGGGTCGCAGACAAACTCGAAGAGGTCGCCAACGTCGCCACTCAGGTCTCTCCAGGCCAAGATCTTTGCTCCTCCGTCGCGCACCTCGGAGCGGAAGTGCAACGCCTGATCGAGCAGGAAGACCTTTTCGTCCTTGTCGAGGCTGTCACTGCCGCCTTGTTCGTCGTCCTCTTCCCCGAGCTCCTCCTCGCCTTCCTCGTAGGCGCGCTGGATAACGAGCTGGTACTGAAATTCCTGACCGGTGCGTCTGATGGAGGCGGCGGCGTCCTTGAAGATGAGCTCCGAGTAGCCCTTGGGCGACAGAGGGCGAACGAGGTAGAGTTGTCCCTGAGGGATCTCGATAATAGATTCCTTGGAAGAGTCTCCGAAGAGGTACTTGCTCACTGCATAAGTCCCGAGAGGATACGTCAGTACGAGAGGGGCACCAATAAGTGATGAAGGTGGGAGGGGAGGAAGCAGGGAAGGACGATGAGGGGAGGAGGGGCAGATGGCGGGGTAGCAAAGCCAAAGTGAAGAAGGCAGAGCTGCCCTCGAGGAAAAGACATCCGGGGATGGAAGGGACTTACCATTGCGGAGCACAAACATGGCTGGAGCTGCTTTGCTGCTCAGCAACAGCAACCTTGTTTACTGAACTTTGAGATAAGGTGGGTTGCTAGGGACAGGGATTGAGGCAGGTCACCAGACAACAGAGGGGACGGGAAAGGAAACAGGAAAGGATGAGCCTTGGTCTGGGGGCAGAGTGAAGAAGGCCAGGGCCCAGACAGCAAACAGAGCAAAGAGCAGGCGAGTCTCTGTGGAGCTTCTGGAAGGAAGAAACGAAAAAAAGATGGAACGGCGAAGTTGTTGTTGTTTTGGTTGCCGTCATCCATCGCTCGGTGGCAACCATGTGGCGCGGCACGTGTGGCGGTGCGATTATGTCATCTCCCTACACCACTTCCAGCGACAGTAGTTCTACAAATCTAGAAAGTACTACGAAGCATCACTTCCTGCTCGTCATTGGAAGAAATGTAGATTGGCCAGCTCCTCATCGAGTAGACAGCTCATGGCAGCTTATACCGCTGCATATATACACGTTACTTAGCACTGCACCCCTCAATTGCCCTCCGCAGGCACCTCTGCCATAGCCTGATCAGGCACCTCTGCAGCCTGCTGGGCCTGCTCAACCGCCTCATCAGTAACCTCCTGAGCTTGCTCCAGCGCCTCCTCTTCTTCCTCCTCTGCATTATCCTCCTCGTGCTGAGACCCCTCCGCCTCAGCCCCCGACTCCTTTAACTTTCCACCCTTCCGCTGCGGAATAACAGCCAAGAACGCCTTCCCCCAATCCCCCAGCTCCAACCACTTGAGCATAATCTCCACGACATGATTCGTAGCCAGCACCTGTCTGGACGCCATCTGAATATAATCCCCAATAGGCAGCTTAGCCGTCTTGATCCCCTTCTCCACAGCCTGCTTGTAACAAATCCCCTTGTGCCGGTTCTTATCCACCAACCCGCCAACAATATACGTACTGAACGGCTTCAACTCCGTCAACGTATGGGGACTGTCACTGCTCAGATAAACCACCTCCCCATCCTCAGGCTTCATATCCGTCTTATCAGCAAACACCCCCTCCATCTTACCCCCGTCAGGAACAACCATCCACTCCTTCGCCTTCTCCGCCACCTCGGCAAAATCATCCGGCAGGATCCTAACCCCCTTCCAGTTCAAGTAATGCTTATTCAACTTCGTATCAAATCGCTCCTTCAACTTCTTATTGAACGACGAAAACACCAAATGCGAGCGATACACCGACCGACTGTTATCCGAGTACGACCGCGTGATCTGCGACCCCAGTGAAATTCGCTCCTTCTCCAACATCAACTCGTCGTATCCGCAGTCAATCACCAATGTAAGCGGAAGCAGTGTCGACTTGCGGAAGCGCTCCTGGGTCCGTTCGTATTGCTTCTTCAGTTCGGCTTCCGTACCGTCCAGCCGCGCCTGCTCGAACGCTGCGCGGCGGCGCTCTTTGCGCGCCTGTGCGGTTTTCTTGCGCTTTGCGAGCCGAAGATCGCGCTGCTGGTCCCATTGTTCGCGGCGGCGTTGGCGCTTCATCTCGCGCTTGGAGATCTTGGGCGCTCCATCTTCGGTGGTGGGGGCTGTAGTGCTGTCGGCGGCGGCGCCGTGGGTAGTAGTAGTAGTATTATCATTCTCGGATGTCATGGTAGGTTGCTCATTGTCGCCATTGTCTGTCCCAGCCGTGGCAGCCGTAGAGACATTATCAGCAACCTGCAGCGCTCCGGTCATTCTGGGCTCAGAATCCTGAGACTCGTCGTGATCAAGCTTAGGAAGCTTTCTAGGCCGATCGTTGTCTTCCTCCATAACGTAGTCGGAATCCTCAATTAGCAATACTTCTTTCTCTCCCCTCTCACAAATCCAATAAATAATCCCTTACAGAGACGAAAAAAATATAATAAAAAAGGTGAACAGACAATCACCAACAGGTACAAAATCAGTGAAGCACACACCCAGCGGCTATCCAGCTGAAGATCATCCAAAAAGCCCCCCCACCAATCAAAACCCCCTCAGCGCTCATTACCAAACCATGCATCTATCACGTGACACAACATCCCAAGTTCCCATCCGCAACCGCATCATATCTCCCAGCACCACCCTCGATTGAAAGGCTGCGGCAACCCCCTCCCCTCCTCTTGTCTCGCCAGTCTTTTTCTCCCTCAGTCACCATGCCTCAGGATATGCCCCCGCAGGGGGGCTACTTGCCCGTGCAGTACAAGGTGCGTTAAACCAGACACGAAACGAAACGTCCGATTTATCCGTTCCACGACGAACAACCACACACCCTACATTCGAACGAACAAGCAAGCAGGCCAATGGCTAATTAATTATATAGCGCAACATCCCTGCCCGTGGCTTCCGCCCCATCTACTACCTGATCGGTATGCACCTGATCATGGGCTACGGATACTACAAGCTCTTCTACGGTGTCCGTGAACAATAGTACGTCCATGCCTGACCCCCCCGAATAATTGGCAAAGGAAGAAAAGGAAATTGACAAATATGGGAATGAAATAGTGAACTCGCCCGTGAGAAGATGTGGGGCCGTATACACATCATGCCTCTTCTCCAGGCCGAGGAGGACCGTGACCAGGCTCGTCGCTACTTCGCCGACAAGGCTCGTGAGAAGGAGCTCCTTGGTACGGATGCCAAGATCTACAACTCGGACCGGTATGTGTTACTCTACACTTGTATTTGGATGATGTCAATTGGGCAGCAGGGAATCGCTAATCATGGTTTTGGAAATACAGCTTCGTCCGCCCTACCTTCACTTATACCCCCAGCAAGGTCACTCAATAAGCGCTTGGAAGATAATAAAATTTTGCGTGCGTTCGATTATGTTGTCTTCTGTTTGCCCAGGTCGTTCCCTTTTTGGGACGGCGAGCGTCTTGCGCTTGATCTGATTGGGGGGTTCATGTGCAGGCAAATGATGGGTTCGGAGTATTCAGTTAGGGCGTGTAGGCTGCGGTTCCGTGAGAATCAACAGGTGCACCGGGATAGTCAAGATGAGCTACTATTGTATGTTGTAGATATACCAAACCAAAGAGACCGGCCAGTTCCGCAATGCGTTTTCAGTGTTTTGTATTCCTTGTTTTTTTCTTGCCAATTGGCGTCTATCAACCGCTGCTACATTAGACTATGCTGCGTCGCTGCCATGACCTCCGGGGAGGCGTCTATGTGCTTATATATGTGAGAAAAGTCAAAACCGCAAAAGGTGGCTGTGATGTCGGAGAAGGCTTGAAACCAAAGCCACCATACTATACAAGGGAAGACCTGGGTATGAGCGGCCGCCGCACCGAATCTAGGGGGAGATTTCAACCGAACAAGTCCGCGACACCGGCAAGGTCCGGGCCATCGTTGATATCGACCTTGTGATTCTGTTGGCCCTCCATCTCACCGGTACTCATGTACCGTTCCTGTAGCGCACTCCTGGCCTTTCGGCGTTCTTCACGAGAGCCCAGAATTTTACCCTGCTCGGCGATACTCACACCTCTCAGGCCTTCCAGAAGATCCAAAATCAGCGCACGCTGCTGTCGCGCCGCGGAGGAACGTATGAGAGCAGCCTCTGCGTTGGCAACCCGTTGTTCGTCCAAGCCCGGAAGGCTGAGCATCACGGCCCGCGGGGTGGGGCTGGACGATCCATACAAAATCCAGATGGAAGCGATGAGCTGGGCAAGGTCTTTCTGCATGTCAACAAAGTAAGGTTCGTGCACAGATGTGATGCAGGCCTTGAGCACCTCGGAAGAGATAAACTCGCGGATCGTTACGGTTGTTGCTGTATCATTGGGGGGCGCAAAGTCTTGAAGGATGGAGCGAATGACGCGAGTGATGATGCTGCAGCACCGGGTATCGCGCATACGGAGGGCATGGGTGCAAAACAGCATCACGGGCTCGAAGATCTCCGGAGAAGAGAGGACAAAATGCCGGATGGAGTCAGAAAGCGCCGGTGCCGCCTGTGGGACACTGGGATCTACGGGCTCGTCGTCGGGGTCTGAAACAGAGAGTTAGCACAGTATAGAAATCACAATGTCACTCAACTTACCCCCTCTCTGCGGGTCCAAGAGGCTTGCCACGAAGATCACCGCGGAGTATGTCAGCTGCCGTAGGATACTTTCCGATTTCATTTCATCGGTCAGATCCCCTTCCCCAAGGCCTTCCTTCTGACGTTCAATGGCGTCCCACTCCGATGTCACTTTCTTGTCGATATTTGTGAAAAGAGTGGAGAGCATTGGAGGCAGGAACTGGGCCCGGAAGCGGACAGGGCAGTCATCAATCAAACACCTTGAAATGTTAAGAAGGACGGAGAACTGATGGGAGGAAAGATGGGCGGAGTCCTTGAACAGCGCCTGGGCAAGGGGGCCGGGAAGTTCTGCGAACCCATAGAAATGCTCTCGCAGCCTGCTCATGCTGAACAACATGGAGTAGCAGGATTCTCTAACTGCCCGAATCTTGCCTCTTACTGAGGACGCAAATCCCTCAAGCGAGGCTTTTGAGGCCGTGATCTTGGCATAGAATTCATCCCGGCTTCCAGTGGAAATTCCAGCTTGCCAAAATCTATCGGTCAGGATACGTTCGACCACACCGCGCATGTCATGAGGCAAGCCACCCCAGTTCTCTGGATTGTGGAAGGCATGCGCGTTACTGTGTGTGGTTAGCCAGATATACAGGGCTGATGGGCAGATGGCTTACCTGACAAGCTGCAGTAGCGTTGGCAGAATCGTCGGAATGATGTCATGCCAAATATTGCAGGCCAGTTCGTACGCCTGATCTGTTTTCTTAAGTTTGTCCGAGGAAACGGCCAACATAGTCTTGGTGCCTCTCAAAGGCAATTGCTATCCCGAAATTAGCACTTTTTGGTGATGACTAGGGAGTTATTATTACCTGGAACTTTCTGGTCATCTCTTCCTGGATTAGCTTGCCCTCACTATCCAGAGGCACGGATGACCAGTCCTCGAGCTTGGGCGCATGTCGTGCTTGCATGTATGGACCAACACTCTGCAATCCGAGCATAACGCAGAAGCCTTCAAAGGTCGAGCTCATATTACGAAACTCCTCTTCCTGCCAAGCCATTTTTATGGGTTCCACAAAAGACACCAGGCGGGACTGGCGGAGATACGGTTCGACGTTGTTTGCACGTTGCCTGCAAGGTCAGCACTAGGACGCTAGATCTGATGTTGTTGAGCCATACATGATGATGAGCAGGATCGATGTGAGCTCCATTTGAAGCTTGTCATCTACCCGGTTGGCCATACTGATCTCCTTGATCTTAGGCTCGAGTATGTCGTAGAAGGTCTGTGGACAGAACAGTTAGCAGTGCTTAGTGCCATGGTGGTCTAACTTACAGCAAAGTAGTCTGCATAACGCATAGCCAACCTCCGGAGTTCATGGCTGGTCAAGCCGTGGAGTTCCTTTACGGACTCGGAGTACACTGGGTATTCCGGCTGGTCAGGTAGACGCGTCATGAGGATATACTCAAGGGCCTTGAGTGCAAAGCTAGGGGTCTTATCCAGAGCTTTGGATGAAATATCGACAACGAGCTTGATGACCCGCTGCTTAAGGATTGGATCCTGTAGGGTAACATGAGTTGGTTATATTGGAACATAATATTTGAGGGCAAGTCAGTCGAACCTCAAAGTTCCGCTGCATCAGCTTGAAAGCCCATGCCTCTAGCATCTGTTCTAGTTCGCTCCGCTTTTGTTCCTACAGTTATGTTAGCTGAATAACGGTGATTGGAGTCGTGTCTCGCACGTCTTGCTGGGGCATCCGTCCATGCGCAGACACCCATTTATTGTATCCCTTCAGTGTTGCCTCAACGACTGCGAACTGCGTGTCGGCACGCATCAGGGGCATTGAGTTCTTCGAAAACGACTTGACTGATGCAGGGTTTAGCTAATAATTCAAACCCAGGCAAGACATACATACCGCTGAAAGGCTCCACTCCGGCGTAGAGATTGTCTAGGTTAGAGTCAACTTCCGATAAGATATGAAGAATGGCTTCCTGTGGTCTCTTTTGTACGATGCTTTCGATGATAGACGAGCAGTAGCGCCGGTAGTTACCAACGAATGCATGTCTTTCGGGGATAGTGTCAATATCCTCGTTGAGGAAAACAACCGTAGCATTCTCCGAATCGGACGGGAAAGACTCCCAACGAATCAATCTTTCGGTGCAAATACTCAGTAGGGAAGGCACGAGGCCAGTAACCAAGTCAGTATTTCCGATCCTCTCCGATGCGATTAACTTAGACCACACATGAAGAACGGGAATCGAAACAGTAAGACTTTGGTTCTGAATAACGCTGACGGTGAGGTGGAAGAAGAACGGTAGGTTAAGGCCCTGTACGCTTTCCAAGGCAAAAGACTTTTCCTCAAGGAAACCCGCAATATATGATATCATCTATTCATGATGCGTTAGTGTGCGCCTCCCCGTCAAGTGCGGTTTTTCTTTTCATACCTCAGACACTTTCTTACATATGGTGTATCGTAGGTCGTCGACGTCGTCAGGCCCAACGACGGACCATTCGTAGAGTTTCTGCAGCACATTCAAGGACTCTGTTTCGTACATGACGTGGACAAGTGGTTGGAAACCCTCGATGTCGACATTGGAACGACTATACAAGGCATGCAGGGCTTCAACCGCGGCCTAGATTGGTTAACATTAGCACGACATGCTCCTCGCACGACCACCACAGGTTGGGTGGAGACTTACCATCAACACATATTCGTCATCACAAGTGAAAGCCCTGGCAATTGAAGGAACGCAATTGGCCGAGAGAATTGCCTTGGGGATCGACCATGCAAGGACGGACTTGAGAGTCGCGAGAGCTTTCAGGGCCGAGTCTTTGGCTTGCTTCGAGTTTTGGATGTTCCCAATACAATCGGCCAGAAACCCACAGATGCGGGAAAGCCAACCTTCCGGGCCACAGCGCAGGTCAATACTGTCCTTTTTTGGGTGAATCTCCTCGAAGACAGACAGGGGAGTGCAGATCTCCACCAAAGCCCGATTGAGATCCGTGCCGCGCAGGGAAGAGACGGTGTCTTCGCGGTAGAAGATGTCTTCGGAGAGGGTTTCCAGAATCGATAGGACTAAATCCTTGTGCACAAGACTAGCATTCCAGAACTGGACGAGCGTTGCGTCCATGTCGTTCCAGTCCAAGCCCCAGCTCCGTTTGGCGACTTCGGCCCATAATTGGGTGATCTTGTTGCGGATATACGGGGGATCTTCTGGCCGTACTGATTCGGCCAGCTTGAGGACCAGGCCTCTCAGTGCATCGATCTGTTCTGAAGCCTCAAAGGAGGTGTGACGCAAGACGTGATCTAGCAAACCCAAGCCGAAGTAGCGAACCAAGGGGTTGCTCTGTTCGGGGGAAGCGAGCAGGAAACCATTACGAGCAGCGGATTCGCTTTTTTTCTGGGCCTCCACAAAGGTCAAGGCCTCCCTGCGCAGCTCATTTGTCGAGGAGGGGCTATGGATGAGCTCAAGGGCACGGATGATGTCGGCCATGCGGCCCTCCGATAGATCTGCCTCGGCCGCCATGGATAGGATCTGACGGAACTAGTGCCGCCGGGGGAGGAATGGAAGGATAAGTATAGCGGAATGGGTTTAACTCAAAACTTTTTGCAGTGGCAGCACCAATGCCGGCATGATCTAGGCCCTTGTAAAGCCTTGGTCACTCTTCCCGATGAGAGAGAGAGAGCCGTCGTTGCGGGTCAGGTAGGACTGCGTTGGGCAAATAACAAACGCTGCCGCAATCAGCCTTCCAGAAAAGGTGGGCGACACACGGCAACCGCCTCCGAGGCAGTTGCGGCTCGGCGGTGCAGTGGTGTTCTGGAATGAATGGGGGATGCGGTTTCTGCCTAAAGAAAAGGGTTTATAAGGAGGGGGGGAACCACGGGGAAACTAGGAATGTTCCGAGTACGGAATTGAGGAATTGCTTCCCTCTTCTTGGTGCTTGTTGAGTTGAAGGGGAACGGGGGAACCCGAGTCTATCACGTCCGATAGTTGGACTGGGGGGGGAGGGAAGAAGACTGCAAAAGTGGGATAGGAAGTAAGTTGCAGTAGTAGTAAGAA